CATGCATAACTGAGATCCGGGTCCGGAATGGTGAAAATGTGCGATTTTGATGCATTTTCGGCCTTAAAATGGCCGCTATTCGGCTATCGTTAATCGGATCATGAAAAAAATGCATGTGCATATGTCCCATATAATGTGTGATGTATGAGTGAAGTTTGAACTTAATCGGTCCATGCATGTTCGAGATACAGGTGATCACGGACGCACGGACGCACGGAGGGCAAAACATAAGTCCCCGTTTTCGGACTGCGTCCGAACGGGGACTAAAAAATGTGAAGCCTATTTTAATCAGATTGTATTGGGCATTTATACCATATTTGTTCTATTAAGGTAAAAGCCAACTCATAAAAGCAAATACCCAGAATTTTTTTTTCATCTTGCAAGTTAGGTTGCAAGTTGATAAGTTAGGGGTTACGCAGACTAATTTTCAAGAAAAGATGGTTGACTAACTTTCTCTAAAATTATAAGTAGGTGACTACCTTAAAAAGTGCTTCTGCAATAGAAATATTTGTAAGCCAACAGTTGCATTTGTTGTATACTTGATTAATAAAATATGACCTATTTTGACCACTGACACATCTCTGCTATCTAAAGAAGAGCACAGATAAAAACTACGAATCAATCAGAAGTATAAACTAGGAGTAAACTTAAAACTCCATCAAACATGTGGATCCTGAAATGATGCATACAGTGGATATAATTCCTTCTGTGCACTGTTAGGAGATTTCTACAACTTTTATCTCATGTCAGTCTGCATTAGTGTTTTTAAAAAAGATTTATACCAAGACAAGTACAGTATTATCACCTTGAAAGGTGAGTTGGGCATTTATGGATATATATTGGTAATTTAGATGATTTATATCTCATATCTATTTGAGGGAGGGGCAATCACCAAGTATTGCTGCTATGGCATTAAGGGCATATGTAGATACATAACAAGATAACTGGTAACTATGGTGATAGCGTGAACACAAAACAACATATGACCATAACGCTTTCCGATTGGGCAGAATATCACCTGAAGCAAGTACCATATGTAGTTGTAGTGCTTAGTGCTTGCATAAATGACAGGTGTAATTATTGGCAAAATAATTCATATTTTAATTTGATATATGTAGTAAATGGAAATTTTGGTTTATATGCTTTTGTATTATGAATGCTCTTCCAACAGAATGAATACATTGTGCAGTATTATTAATTTTTTCTATTTTTATAAAGGATATCTTCCCGTTCTTGTAGTATACTGTCATACTGTTCTTGAATACTCAACATTTTATTTTCAAACTCATTTCTCTCTGCATTCAGCTGCTCCAAGGCATTCTCTTTTTCTTCACCAATCCTGTAATATCAGAGAAGGAAAGCTCATGATTCACAGGTCATTGATGTGCAACTGACTTTTTTAAATAAAATAGTGGATCAGCAGTTTAGACACATTATTGACCTAAAATTTAGATTTTTTTCGAATGCAATTCTTTACTTTTTTGTGGTTTCATATAAATTCTACCTCATTAGGAAATACAAATTCCAAACAATTGCACGATGTTTCCAAGATGGTGGTCATGTTTAAAAAGTTTATAGATCATAAAGTTATTACACTGATTTTAACCATCATGCCCAATTCTTGATTTTTAACACCAATTATTTGTATTACTTGGTAACAAGATGTATAATAAT